GTAAGGGTGGAGGTGCCTCTGGGGTTTCGCCGGTTCTCTCGCCCGCCCTGGCCAAGCCTAGAGACAGACTGACGGTGACAGCAGGGATGGTCTGGGCTTACGTTTGTCACAGCCAATGACACTTCGGCCTTCCTGCTGTCTCTCTGCTAACCAATTCCTTGCCTTCATGCCACTGTGAATTGAACTGAGGGGGTTATAATTAGAGGGTTCACTTGAGGACATTCTGTCTGCTGGTGCTGTTAAAATAATAAGTGAAAATAGAAGAATCCCTAAAAGAACTTGAGGTGTGTGGGCTGAAGATCTAGAACTTGACCCAGTAATCAGAGACAGAGATTTGATCCCCGTATGGGCCACACACACACACACACATACACACACACACACACCCCAAAAAAGGAAAAAATCAGAGATAGAGGGGTGCATGTGAGGCCCGGAGGAGATCCGAGCACGTTGCAAACCCTGAGCCTTCCACCAAAATCACTCTCCCCTCGGCTGATTTAAAACAAAGTCCTTCAACCTAAATAATACAGTTGCTTTTGCTTTCACTTGCATATTACTTTATATTTTTCAAGTTATTTTTGTGTATCTTACCCTCTGAACCTCACAATTATCCCATGAGATAAGTGGCATTGTCCCCCCATTTACAGATAAGGAAACTAAAACAGAGAAATCAAGGGACTCTTCTGAGGGCACAGAGCCACAGAATAGCAGAACCACGTCTAGCTGGAACTAAGGTCTCCCGGGTCAGTTCCATCCTAGTTTGATTGGTGATCTTCTATTTCCTCCACTCATCCACTCAGCGGGTATTTAACGAGCACTTTCTCCACAGTGGAGAGAAAAGCAGACCCGGTACCAGCCCTCATGGAGCATAATGGGAAGACGGTAGACAACAAAACCCCACCCTTGGTGCTGAAGCCCAGACAGAACCGTACGTCCTTCCTCTTGGTATTCACGTGTACCCAAGACCTAGATTAACAAAACATACCTACAATTCCAGACGCTCTGACACACACAGTCCCTCTCCCCCTCCCCTTAGCCGGCCAAAGCTTCGGCAGCCCACCTCCTTGGGTACACTACAAGGCACCCCTCACCTGATGTCCAAATTGGTTGCAAGGGAAGCCGAGAACCACCAGGCGCCTGGGAAAGCGGCATTGCAGCTCGTTGAGCTGGGTGAAGTCCCGGCTGGTCGTGCCTCAGAGCGAGGCCACGTTCTCAATCAGCACGGCCCTGCCTCGGAATGTGTTGAAATCTACCTTCTCCCCGTCCAGGCTGGTGGCACTGAGGTCGTAGAAGGACTTGGCTATGTAAGCCATGGTGAAGGGACACAGCGAGGCCTGCAGAGTGGCAGGAACCCACGTCAGGGTCTGTTATAGGGGTGGGGAGGAAGGAGGAGCCTGGAAGGACAGGAAGGATTTCACAATGGGGCTTTGAGTATCCCCAGGATGACTTAGCAAAAAACGGTCACCCACCTGTAGGTGCTATTTCAACAGGGAGGTGGCTCCTCCTATTTACAGACGCTGAACAAAGCCACCTACCTGCCCCACCCTGCTGGCAACCTGGGAAGGGCCAATTTGATATCTACGTACAAACATGAATAATTCACTACTTTCAGGAAACTAGAGCCCCAAAGGTCAAATGGGGAGGAAAAAAGGGAGGGAGGGATGCAGGATTGACTCCGACCAGCCCCAGCAAGTCGTTCTCACTTGGCACAGATGTGTATTGTCGGCTGAAGGCCAAGCTCTGATCTGCGCCACTGAGAGGTCAGGGTCTGCCAAGATCTGAAAGATGAGGAAGAGAATTGGGGGGCATGTCCCCTTAACTAGACCATAACCGAAATATACATATGACTGTGCACATAGTTTTCTTTGGCTGTTGTTTTCCACAAGCACACAATCAAAGGGATCCTTAGGAGGACAGTGTGATTTTTCTAGAAATAATGGCTTTCAGTGGCTCAGCGCGCCCCAGGCTGCAGAGATGAAGTTTGTCGTGATCAGTCTTTCGGTGAGTGATGTTACTTCCGCTGGAGAGGACCTTTGCCCTTGCCCCCCAAGGTGCCCTTGCATGGCACCGACTCCAGTACTATGGGTCCTGCACTCTGCCTCCACAGGCTCAGGAGGCTGCCGTCAGTCGGGGCCGGGGTGATGGTGAGGAGTCAGAGCAGGGGAGTAACTCCCAGGGCATGTGCCGCACCTGCCTCCTCTCAGACAAAGGCTCGGTCCCAAAGACTTCTCCTGGCAGGCTTGTGCTGCTCATTGCCCCCCCCCCCCTCCTCCACAAAGGGAGTGTGCAGGGAGTCAAAGCTGCTATGGTTCTAAACCCAGCCAAGCCGCCCAGGTTTTCAGCACCAGCCATGGAACGTACTGCGGGACAGCTGAGGACCTAAGGGAAGGCCTAGTGCTTCACTTCATTATTCCAAACACCACCAGCTCGATAAATCTGATTTAAAAAAAAAAAAAATGGCAGGATTTCTCCATCAGGAAGACTGGCAATCAGGCTTGACCTGGCTTGGGGATTTTGGGAGTGTTATTTCAATAACAATGCAACTGTTTATTAGAGAGTGTTTTCACAGGTACGCGTCCATTGGGAACTGTCTTCTAGAACGAAGAATAAGCAAGGCTTGGGAGCAGCTGGTATTGAGAATCTGATTTGCTGAGAAGATGGAGGAACTACTCACCAGGAAGTGCCCAGCTTTTCTGTCTTTTGTGGCCTGTTCCGTGGCTGTTCATAGCATGTGGGAACCCATGTCCCCACTGGCCGCTCCCTCAAAACCAGCCTCCCTTACTTGAGGGTGAATAGAATCTTTGGCCATTAAAAGAGGTGGCAGGAAATGCAAATGAAGTGTGTCCCCTGATTGGACTGGGTAGAGTTCCTAGAAACAGCCAATAAATGTCCCTACCAGGCCACTGAGTCAGAAGAACTTGGCCCTGACAGTGGGCTGAACTTCAGCGTGAACTTGCCAGACTCACCTGCATGCCAAGAGCTTCCCCAAGGACTCTCGGGCATCTGGACACTTCTTATTGGCTGCCCTTCTGGGGCCTCTGTCCAGGAAGACCATGGAAGTTCCTGAGCTGGGGGATCAAGTGGGGGTTCCCTCTTCCTCAGGGCCACACCATCCCTTTTCTCTAAGAACTTAGGACCCTCTGTCATGCAGGCTCTCGCCTTTCACGATTGAAAAAAACTGATGGGCTCTCTTAAAATACCTCTGTCTCCAACTTGACCTCAAACTAGCCCACTTTCCAGAAGCTTATTACTTTGGACATGAACTAACAGGTATGGGATTCCCACGGCTTTCCATAGGGACAGTTGTTCTGGAAACTGTGCTGCCTTAGTAGGCAAAAAGTCTAGGTAGGTGGTTCTCAACTCTAGCTACAAAGGAGAATTGCTTATGGAGATTTTTTTTTAAAGTACGGACGCTAAAGCTTTTCCCTCCAGAGATTTCAGTTTTGGTGTTTCCGGCCATGACTCTGCCACTGTTACCCGAGGCCCTCAGGCACATTTCCTTACCAGCTGAATTTGTGTAATCACCCTCCTTATCTCGCACAGATAGGAGTATTAGGATGGAAGAGATAAAGTATTGCAAGTTCTCCATAAACTGTAAAGTGCAGGTTAAGATCTTAGGCTACCATTGCGCCATCTTGTTTGACTCCTTCCTCCTTCATTCTATCCTGACTCCCATTTTCTGCCTCTTCCATCAGCTCTGTGCCCCAAAGGATAGTATTTTGCACCCCCAGGCCCCCGAGATTACAGTCTGCCTTGCTTCCCTGGAGTACCCGATCGCGGGGCTAGGACAAACTTCTGAAAGATTTAATCCCTCCTCATGACTTCAGGGAGACCTGTTACTGTTCCATCTCAGATAGAGGAGAACCTTCTTGGCTTTAAAGACTCCCTCAGACACAGGTATTCAGCACCCTCCCAGCGATGCAGGCTTCTTTCTGCACTCGTAGGCCCACCACAGAGCACTGGGGGCTTTGCTGGGGCTCCCCTGCAGGTGGTGTTGGGAAAGGTACAATAAGGAGGATGACGCTTTGCTGCTTCCATTGTCATCCTTCTGCTGTTGCTTTATAAGGTTCTGGAGCCTCTTCTCCCAGCACTGCCTCTCCCTCCCTCCTTAACTGCCAAGGTCCCAGTGAGAACTCCTCCTAGGGGCTCATACAGGCAGCCACACCTGTGGTTTGAAATATTTTTTATTTTGTAAACATCTGTGTTTAAAATAGATGAACCCTGCTCACAATTCATATATTGGACCCAAGACACGGTACACGAAGTTCACCCATCACAGGGAGATGGTGGGGGCCTGGGAGCATGTGGAATGCCTGGGGCTGGGCTGAGTCTCAAGACAGCAGGTGCAGAGATGGTGAGGAGTAAACAGGCAGGAGCGTCTGCTCAACAGTCTGGGCCTAAGGCCAGATCCCAGGCCACCTCCCGGACTGGACAAGTTTAGGGGTGAGATGCTGACTCCGATACCTGGTGAGCGTAGTTGACCCTAAAGCTCCAACCCTCCTGCTCCCATACCTCTCCCCAGCGGTGGCCCTGGTGGATGGGCTCATCGGTTCATAAAATCTCCACTCCGCGTTTTCCCTTCCAGAACCCCTAGGTATAGTAAAAATTAGTCCCTCTGTCCCGAGGGGGCTGGGAGAGAAAGACGCGCGCTCTGCCTGACCTTCAGGGAACACTGTGACATGGATCCACAGGTTGGAGCCAGTGCCCAGCAAAACGTCTGCTCTCCGAAGCCCCTGGCTGCCGGCACCCCGAGGGCTGGTTACTGTCGCCCCACCCCTGGTGTGTCGCCGTGTCTTGACACCCGAGGAGTCAGTCCTCAAGGAAGCATCCCAGCCATATCATGACTTCATCCAAAAGAGTCTGCTATCTAAGTTTCTCATCAGCTAACAATTTATAACTATCCCTGCCCTCCTTTTCCTTCCACTATGTTAGCCTATCCCTGGTCCTACATCCTGAGCTACCCTCTCCTACTCTAAGAGTCAGGAGGAAAGGTTTGGTGATTTCTTACCCACCTTTTTTTTTTTTTTTTTGGAGGAATAAGGAAGCAGGGCTCTTAATCCTTCACACGTGTGGGCCCTGGACTTCGGCCTTTCGTCGGTCAATGTTCAGTGCTCGAGTCTTTGTTTTAGCTCCAGCCCGAGCCATGTGATGCCGCTAAAATGTAGCTTAAGAAGGAGCCTCCAACCCTGGGAAGGTGGGGAAGAACCCCACTAGGGCCCGTCACTGACTTGCCCCTTCTTTAAAGCGCCTCCCTCAAGCCACCTTTGGGCCATGTGGGGTTAAAGAAACTTCTTCCTGAACAAAGAGCTCTGGAGGAAGGAGTCCGCTTCCCTCCTCCTGCAGCCACAGTGCAGGTGGCTCCTCTTCAAGGAGCTAGAGGGGCAAGATGAGCATTTTGTCTAGAAGGCTGAAGAGAACAGCACCAAGCATTTCTACCCGGGGCCTTCCTTCTCTCTCCCCGGGAAGCCCCTGCCCTTCTCCCACAGACTTTGAGTCTCAGGAAAACCTTGAGCACGGAAGGCTGGGTTTAGTGGTTATGTCACCTCTCACGTGCCAGGGGGGTCGTGGGGAAACGCCCTTCTTACACAGAAAGGGAAGTTGCTGCCATATTCCCTTCTGGTCTCCTCTCCCTCGCTTTCACCTGATATACAGGGGCTAGTCCTTCAGGTCCAAACACTCCCCTTTCTGGGGTGTGTGGTTGGCTCGTCAACATCAACATCACTGGTCTCGCCGCCCGCCCCCCTCCCCCAGGCTTTCCTTGTCCCTGCAGTGCCCTGAGGCCTTGGTACACATCTTTAAATTCAGGAGCCCAGGTGGGGAGAAATTGTATACACACTGCATGGGAGGTAGAGAATGAAGGTGACCTTTATCCCTGCCTCCTCTCGACATTTTTTTTCTTCTCTGAAGCACCTGCTTCTGAGCTCACTTTCCGCAAGAAGCAGGTGGGTAGGCAGCCAAGCAAGGCCAAAGCTGGGAGGGGGGGATTTGGGGGGCAGGCAGGGAAAGGTGGGACAGCCCCAGTCTTGAGGACCACCAGTTTGGTGTTTCCTTCCTACCTTGATGTTCCACTTTCCCTGATCATTGGTGAGGCAGGCCCACAGCACAGGAAGGGGCGGTGGGGTGGGCAAGATAGGAAGAAGCACCCCGTAGGCTTTGGCCCCTTCACAAAGCAGGGTGGGGGGCGGTTCTCCCAGAAGAAGAGTATGGAACATCCCCATGAGCCTGAGTCCATTCCCTTGGACAGGGTTAGGAAGAAAGGAAAGAAAGAAGCTGCCCCGGCAGCCACACAGCAGGACGGCGAGGGCAAGAGGTGTGAGGGGCTTTGATACAGAACACACTAGAAGGGGGAAGGGGACAAGGAAGAGAGGTGGGAGGAAGAGAGGAAAAGCAGAGAGACAGGATGCACTGAGAAAGAAGGAGCCCTGGAGTGGCCTCACTCCAGACGGGGCCACTGTCTGGGCGCCTGGGGCGGTGAGACCGCGCCCGCAGCATACTGGGGGCTCCTGGCGGGCCTGTGGCGGGCAAACAGGCGGGAGGGAGCCCCTCCAGGCTGGAGGGCGGGGGCAGAGGCTGCTCTGAGATGACAGCGGGGCTGCTCTCAGGGCCAGGCAGGGGAGTAGCAGCTACTGGTATTCCACAGGGTCACCCGAGTGAGAGGAGAAGCAGGGCAAAGCCCAGACTCCCTGTCTGCCACAGGCCTCCCGAGGGGAGGGGGATCGGTGGGTGCTCCACGCAGGACCCTCAGCACCAGCAGGCTTTCGAAGAGTTCGCCGGGCCCTCAGGTTTGCCCTCCTCTTCCTCCAGCTCGGCCAGTGCCAACTCGGTGCTGGCGCGTGTCCGGAGACCATCCAGCTCCTTCCTGTGGGCCTGCAGCACCAGCTCCGTCAGCCGCGTGAAAGACTGGGAAACCAAGGGCGGCGGGTGAGTGGGGTGCCGCCTCCTCTTCCCCCTGCAGCCCGGTGCTCGTCCTCTGACCCGCCGCCTCCCCGCTCCGTGCAGCTCCTCGGGACTGGGCCACGGAGGCAGGGCTGCGGGGCTTTGGGGCTCTCACCTCTTTAATGTTGAGGTTGGTGCAGGCACTTGTTTCATAGAAGTCCATGCCATACTCCTTAGCCAGCTGCAAGAAAAGAACATTCCTGAAAGGGAGTCAGTAAGGGAAGGGAGGTGCCCACAGCACCTGGCACACACTTGTGCCGCAGCCCTCACAGCCCATGCTGAGCTGTCACTTCTCAGACCAGGCGGGAGCTCCTTCCAAGACACAGGCCAGCCGAGAACGGAGAAGACGCTCCACAAAGCCCCCCCGCACCCCCAGCCACCTCCCGGTGCCCACACATACATCAGGAGACGAAGATCCCCCAGTCTTGTGCAGGAGGTGGAATTGACAAACCCGGGCTTTGGGGTCAAAGAGATCCAGCCTTAGAGGCCAGTGATGCCACTCAGCAGCCGGACGACCTTGGACAAGTCACTGACTCTAAGCCCGGCGCTGCCATCTGTTAAAGGGGGATGAGGGTGTCTATCAACCAAAGTCACGGAGTGACTGAAAGAGGTCATGCGTCTCAAAGCACTTGCTTAGTGCCTGCCATCCATACAGTGCTTGATAAATACTATTCTAGGAGGGTTTATTCTAGTAGGGTTTGCCTCTACTTTCAGATTTTTCAGTGATCCTGTATTATTTTTGTATACCAAAAAATCCATTTTATTTTAAGCGCTATGGACAGAAAGAGGGAAAAAAAAGCTCTCGAGGCCCTCAGAGTGGGTGGATGACTCTCGTCTCCATGGTATCCATCCTTCTGTCCTCTGGGAGGGCTGTGTCCCTCGGCACCACCTTCCTACCCTCTCTGCTCCGTGGCTTCTCCGACCGTGAGCTTTTCCTCCCTACCCCTTCCCAGTATCAGGACAGGGGTGGGGTACCTGTAGACAGTAGCCGTGCCATGATGCTGCTGGGGAAGCCAGCGACTTGGAGCCCTTCCTCCCCACGAACACTGGGATGACCTCTTTAGCAGAGGATAATCCTGCTCTGGGGCCCTTAGAGCTAGGAGAGGGGCTGTCCGAGAGGTCCTTGTTTTAGGATGGGCCCCAAATTACTGTCCCAAAGGACAGAAAGCAAACTCTCAAGGATGGCAACTGGCCCGGAGCCTCGGGGAACTGTGGGAGGTGCAGGGTGCCTCAGGATGGGGACAGAATCCTGGGTCCCAGCTCTCAGGACTGGCCCTGGCCGCAGGAGATGTGAGCAATGGACAAGGCCAGCTTGCTCCACTTACCTGCTGCCCTTGCTCCCTTCCCACCTGCCGCTTCTGCTCTTCATCAGCCTTATTCCCTATAAGGATCTTCTGGACACCTTCTGGTGCATACTGGGGACAGAGGACAGGCAGAACCGCCAGTGAGTGCTGCGCTTCCCCCCCAGCCCCCACCATACAGGCTTCTGGCCTCCACACCAGCACCAAGCTCCAGAGCCCTAGGGACAGAGCAGGCAGACTGGGTGCAGGCACGAGGCTGACCCCAGGGGGCCTGGAGGGCTGTCACGGGGACAGCTTAGGGTGGGAGACACTCTGGCTACTCCCCGTACTTCCTGGGGTTAGATAGCTGGTATCTGAACTGGCAAGGACGTTGCACTTAAGTCCACCCCCTCATTCTACAGATGAAAAACTGGGGACTCCAAGAATTCAGATGGCTTGCCCAAGGCTCCAGAGCCAGGACTAGAACCCCAGTCTCACGATTCCTCCTGCTCCTGAGATTTCAGGAAGGACAATGGTCCCAGGGTAGGTTCTGACCTAACTCATTTCCAAGGAAGAAGCAGCCATGGCGGCCTGGGTGGGCGCAGGGCACGGATGGCGTGGCAGCCTGGGCTTCTTCCCCATGTCTTACTCACCCAGAGGTCTTCATCCAGGGCTGGGAAAGGCAAGGTCTCCTGGGAGTGTTTGCTCACCAACCCCGAGAGCTTCGGCCCTTCCCATCGCCTTCCCCTCTGAGGCACCCTTCCCCCACCCCCAGCGGTGAGGCCGCATCTCCTACCTCATCCACATCACTGACCCACTTCATGATGTGCTGGTAAGAGCGCTCGCTGCTAATGTCGTAGACTAAAAATATTCCCTGAGAGAGAGAGGAGAGAGAGATGGGGGAGGGAGATGCACACAGAGTGCACAGGCATGGGTCCAGAGGCAGGTGTGGTACCTTAAGTGCTGGGTCCCACTCTCCCTTCTCCCTGCTTAGCATAATGAGGATCCCTCGGCACCCAGAAACTTCTCCTTCTCTCTCACACCCCCAAAGCTATTGTGCCCTAGGCCTATCACAGAACTCTCTGAGGTAGGAAGGCACCAAATCTTCTGACTGGGGTCTTTGGCCCAGGGTGGAGGGTGGGGATGAGGCTGGGGGACTTGCCTGTGGTGTGTGCTCAGAGAGTAACTGAGGAGTGTGTGATGGCGACCCTCCCCAGCAGGCACTCCGAGGGCCCTATTCTGGGCGTCGGTGGCACAAATATCTCAAACGCCCAGAGCTGGGAGTGTGGATGGCAGCATCCCACCTCCAGACCCTGAAAATGGTGGCTCACCTGGGCCCGTCGGTAGTACTGCTTTGTGATGGTCTGATATCTCTCCTGCCCCGCCGTGTCCCTGCCGTAGAAAGCCAGGCCATCAGAAGGGCAGGGACCATGGAGCCAGAGGGGAAGGGGTGAACAGGAGCTGGGAGACCCTGTGCCCTTGCAGGAAAGACTGGGGAGCTACAGGGTGAAAAATCAGGAGCTTTGATCCCCAAAGGGGTCTGAACATACCCGACTCTGCAGGAGAGAGGCCTGATGATCGGGGGCTGACAGGGCTTACAGGGGCCTTGTCAACTCAATCAGTGCCAGGAGCCCCAAACAAAACTGGGCCTTGGGCAACCCTCTTTAGAATTGGGCCACTGTGTTCAGACAGGTTGGACTGCTCCACCTCTCGTCCCTGTGGGGCCTCTGGGGCTTCTCAAGGCAACGCCCATAGCATTCTCCAAACTGGAAGCAGCTCCAAAGGCTGGCGAAGGCCGCGCTTGCAGAAACCTCAGGCCAGAGAGCCACAGCGGCCCCCTGTGGCTACTGGTGGGAAGTGCACCATGCCGTCCTGGGGATCTCTCCCCAGGGTCCATCCTCAGTGTGCGGTGTAACCCTCCCTCCCATGCACTGTGGCATGGCCCAGGGGCAAAGTTTCCATCCTAAAACAAACCCACACTCGTTAGTTTGCCAATTCCTTCTAATTCCTGCCTTTGGGTGACTTGTGGCCAATCCCATGAAGTTTCCTAAGAAAAAGAGATTAAGGCTCATAGAAGCAGGAGATGGGCTTTGAGACATTTGCTTCTCTTGGTAGAAGAGGTGGCCTGTTATCCCAGATGCAGCCTCGGGATTTTCACACATGGCAGTGGTGGCCGGGGGAGCAGCCCCATGTCTCTCCTCCTCCCCAACTCACCAGATCTGTATCCTCACTTTGATGCCATCTACCTCTATGGTCTTCATCTTAAAATCCACACCTGGGGAAAGGAAGAGAGCAAGGAGGTTAGGAAGAGTACTGCTGGGACTGAATAGTAAAGGCCCAGGGCACTCGTACTGGAAGGGATTCCCTATGGCTTAATATGGCAGAAAGATGGCATGAGGTAAAGGCCTTCTTGAGCCAAAGATTGACCCTAAGGAAGTATCTGGGGCTTTGAATGGGGCTTCCCTTCCTCCTTGACCTGAGAGTTGCCGGCAGTAAAGGGCAGGGGTGGGAGGGGGAGCGGGTACAGGAGGAGGGCAGAGTGAGTACGGGGGAACCCACTCCATCCACTGCCTCACTCAGCCCCCAAATGTGTCTCCCTCTCCTCAGTGTGAGGTCTTCTATTTACACTTCTGGAGGGAACTGCGAGTATTTATCCCCCCCTGGAACTCTAACCGCTAGGAATAGCAACCTACCTAGTTTGCCTGTTTTGTCTTTTTTTTTCTTTCTTTCTCTGCCTTATTAATAACCAGGAGGGGATGTGGTGCTGTCATGAATGTGGGGAAGGCGCAGGGACCCTAGCAGAGGCCCACCAAGAAGGCCTGGTGGCTCTGCTGTTGACTAGCCCCCGCTTACTGGAGAAGGCACTGTACTCCTTTATTTAGAAGGAGCATGGGCTTTGAAGCCAGGCCTGACTCCAGCCACTTTGGTCATAGCTATGACTTCAGGCACCTTGCTTCTCTGAGCCTCCACTTCCTCATCCGCAAAATGGGGACATCACCAATCATTTCAGAGGGTGGATGAGAAGACCAGACGAGATACAGGGCCTAGGACCTGGGAGATACTCAGCTGACTGCAGTTACCACCATAACCTAGTACAGTCCTTGTCCGTCGTGGGTGCTTGTAAGTGACGACCAGCGACCGGAGGACCAGGCAGTGACGCAGCATGCTGCTGGGGGAGGGAGGGGAGGACAGACAGGCTTCTCAGGCTCATGTGCCCAAGGGCTCAAGGAGCTCAGCTGCCACAAGACCCAGGAAGCATATGGCATTTGGCAAAGCGGCCCAAGGCAGAAACGTATTTGGGGAAACTTGCAGGACGAGCCAGCAGCTGCAGCACGCAGGTTTGAATCAGTGATGGCAGAGAGGAGGGGAGACATTTTCATCACCACGCCTCTTCCCAGCTCCAACTGTGCCCGGGCAGGGTGCCCGGTGAGGCAGGAACTCTATCGAGTAGGTTAATTAAGCTTAAGTCTTAGTGTACTCCCCGGAGACAGGTCAGGAATGGGCAGCATTAACGCGTTTTCAGGTGGAGAACACGGTCAAGGCAGAGTTCCAGACAGAGACGTAGTCACCAGGCTGCACGGCCCAGCCCCAAAGCCCCCCCGCCCCAGGTACCAGAGTCCCCACCACCCTGCTGTCCCCCTCAGCATTAGTTCTTCACCAATGGGGGGTGCTTCTCCCCTTCTCTGGCCTGTCCCCAGGCTTCCACAAATACAGACGGATCCAATTTAGGTTCTTCCCTCTCCCCGTCAGGACCAACCATCATTTAACCAGAGGGGAGAGAAAGATTCTGAACAGGCAACCCAAACTGGACCAGGTTGGTCAGACAGGATTCATTTTCCGCCTGCACAAGCTGATTCATAGCTGTTGAGCTGTACTCTTCCAAATGGGCAATGTCTGGCCGCCATTCTTCCGAGTGTGCTGAGAAAGCGAGGGTTGGGGGCAGGGGCGTGCTCACCCCCTCCTCAGACAGACAGTCGTCAAGAATTTGCTTCTCGCCCTCCCTGGCATAGAAGGGAATCAGGAAATTCTTGTTCTTTCATGGACAGTGAGAACCAGCAATTTGGTTCATCTTACAATCAACCTAGCTCATTATCATACTAGTCCAGCAGGCCTGGTCCAGGGCAATGCCTTACAAAGAGGGGTCACAAGGTGGCAGGGAGGGAGACAGAAGGTTCTACCCTCCCTTTATTCCATACACTTCTATGGGAACTTACTATGTGCCCTGCACAGGACTAGGTGCAGAGTGGTGGAAAGGACATAGGATCCCTGACCTTACAGAGCTGAGTGGGAAGGAGACAAAGACCAGAGAGGTAAGATAACTAACCCAAGGTCAGCACAGCAGGTGGCAGAGATTTGAACACAGGCCTGTTTGGTGCCAGAGCCCGGGATACCCCCAGCACTGCTTCTCAGGGCAATGAGAGCTGTGTATTAACGAGACACGGAGACTTATCTATGCTGATTTCTCTGTAGGTCCTGAGGCCCAGGCAGGGAAGAGCTCCCAGCACTAGGGGACTCCACCCGAGGATGTAAGCAGGTGTTAGAAGAGGCAGCTACCCTGGGAGTGAGCGCTGGGCTTGGATTCCTTCTCCTGCTTCCCTCACTTCTTAGCTGTGTGGCCAGGGGCTGAGGCTGAGGGATTTGGGCGGCCCACAGCACCCCCACACCCATCCTCTCACAACTTAGGTCTTCCTGACCACCCAGTAAAATCTGTGGAGCTTGGAGAAAATGCTTCCATTTTGGCTATTCATAGGCACTAAGCAAGAAACACAGTAAGTCTGGGCCTTTTGAGGGATTTTCTTTCTCCCACCCACCTTTTTTTTTTTTTTAAGATTTTATTTATTTATTTGACAGAGAGAGAGAGAGAGAAAGAGCACAAGCAGTGGGGGCAGCAGAGGCAGAGGGAGAATCAGACTCCCCATGGAGCAGGGAGCCTGATGCAGGATCCCAGGACCCCAAGATTATGACCTGAGCCGAAGGCAGACGCTTAACCGACTGAGCCACCCAGGTGCCCCCACTTTTCTTTAATAATAAAAAAAAAGATGAACAGTCCAGTGATCTTCTAGTGGACTCTATTCTTTCTACTCTCCCTGGTCCCATAGCCTGGATCTCCCACTGTGTCCACCTACCAATCCACAGCCCACCATGCCCTTGCCCACCTGTGGCCCCTCCATCTGTGTGGCTGTTAGTCTTCTCCTGCTGTTGAGCACTGCAGGGCAGTCAAGATGCTAGCCTGGATGGTCACCCACAGGCTCCTGCTTTCTCACCTCAGTGGGGCCCTTGTAGCTGCTGGTACCCCATTTATAAGGGGGTGCCCATCCCTTTCCCCACAGCCACCATCCCCTCGCTGAAGGCTTCAGCCCTCGTGCCCCCCCTCCTCAGTGCCACTCACTCAACAGGACTCCTCCACTCTCCAGGGGTGAGCCAAATGCTGCCTGATGAAGCCGGTCCTGAGGCCCACCTCATTTCCTCAGAGTGAGCCTCTGTTCTCGTCACCTTCCTTGGGGAAGAGACCTCTATCCTTTCCAAGCCTCAGCTCCCAGCTCCTCATCAGCCCCCTCTGGGTGCTCGTCCTAACGGTCTGGCCCCTTTCTGCTGAGGAGGAGAGATACTCTCCCCCCACCTCCCTCCCCTGTGTGTTCTCACTCCGGCTCCTCCAGGGTAGCCCTCCTCAAACGCCAAAGTGCATGCAGACCACTCGGGGACTGTGTTAAGATGCAGCTTCTAGACAGTGGTTCTCAAAGTGTGGTCCCCCGACCTGCAGCATCAACATGAGCCGGGGCTTGTTAGAAATGCAAATTCTTGAGTCCCACCCCAGACAGATGGAATCAAACTCTGGGGGCGGGGCCCTGGAATCTGCATTTTAACAAGCTCTCCAGGTGATTCTAATGCATGCTGCAGTTTGAGATGTGGGCTGAAGCTTCCCACCGGAAGTGCCAGCTGAGGCGGCATGGCGTGCTCCCATTCTCCCGGCGTGCTTTGCAGGTGCTCAGCTTTAGAATCCCCTGGGCTGATTGTTTTTTAAATGCTGCTACCTTGACTGGCCTAGACCCATTGAATCAGAATCTGAGGGCAAGGGCCAGAGATCTCTATTTTTAACAGGGTGGCAGGGGATTTTTAGAAGAAAGTTTGAGCTATAATATAGTGAAAGAGCTATCCGTCAGCCTCGGAATCAGAAAGACCTGGGTCTGAATCCAGATTCTGGCACTTGCTGTGTGACTTTGGGCAACTTTCAACTTGTCTGAGCCTCAGTTTTCTTTCCTGTGGAATGAGAATACCACTGGCCTCCTCGGGGCTGTTGTGGGCTGTGGATTAGGCCATGGATGTGAAGCACCTGCGCACAGTAGGAGGCACTCGTCTCGTTCCTGCCTTCCCTCTGCTGAATAACTGCTTCCCAGCGAGCGGCCGGGCAAACCAACCCAGAGATCAACATCATCAGGGAGCGTGTCAGAAAAGCCACTTTCCAGGTCCACCCAGACTAGTTTGAGAAGCACTGTCTAGCCCATCTCGAGGCAGAACCACACCCAATCTGTGATCCTCATAATTACACTTGCCGCGCACCCCTCAGCTAAGGAATCCAGAGGCCTCAGTCCTCGTGCCAGCCCTGTGAAGCAGGGAAGAGTGGTGACAACCACCGGAGGCACAGGGAGGCCGGGCAACTCCCTCCTGCTCCCACACGCAGTGGCTGAGCCAGAACCGGAGGAGGACTGGCCTCCTGACAGCCGCCCGGGTACCGCTCCCTCGACCAGCAGCTGCAGAACCTTACCGCCTTTCCTGTCGCGCCCTGGCATGCCCCATACCTGTTCTGCTCTGATGAGGCATCTAGAAGCGAGGCCCTGGGCACTCGGGGAGCAAGCCCACCATAGGCTAGTTTCAGGGGACCCCGGGCTCCCTGAGACAGGTCAGGATTGCACTCAGCCCGGATGCATCACCCCGCACAGAGCCACATCACTGTCCCCAGGCACAGGGAACACTGTGGTGTGAACAAACAGGCTCACTGCCTCCACACCGCTCCGGCAGACTTTCCTGAAGATGCGGGGAGCCCTGGGGGAGAAAGTCAGGAAGAGGGGGCCCTCTACCAACCAAGTACCGAAAGCACAGTGAGCCGCTCACCATTTTTCTCAGCATCTCGGATGTGCCAGTCGTGGTGTCTCTTCTGGCTGGAACTGCCCAGCCCAAAGCTTCTGCTCAGGGAGGCAGGGCTGGGTACAGTGTGTGTTCTGTGGCGAAGCAGCTCCTAACTGGACCAGAGGTGGATATCTGACCACAGGAGGCCGGTCCATCACTGGGCTTGCTGGGGACCCCCAGGGGGACCTGGCCAACATGGGCAAGGGGATCTAGCTAAGCTGATCAAACCAGCTCCCTCCAGACGGTGCTGAGGGCATTGGTGAGCTGGTAACGAGAAGAACATGAGGCAGACGTGCAGAGAAGCAGAGATGCCGAAAGACAGAACACGCTGGCCAGAGTGGGGGCTGGGGGCGCTGGATCCTGGCACAGACCCCACCGTCCAGCCCCTGGGTATCCTCAGAGCACACCTGCCTTCCCTAGTGAAGCCTGAAGGCGCCTTGGGATTGCCTGGAGACGCACAGCCTGTGTCTGCCCAGCTGCACCGAGGCCGGCGGGCAAGGGGTTTCAACTTTGGGGCTGAGAGGAAAACCCCCCCCAATTCCCTGCTTGGTGCTGCCTCCTCGTTTTTGTCTTCTAGCCCCAACCAGGTGTAGAGTAGCTAAGGGCCAGAGAGTATATTTTGTAACTGACAATGTTTTTTGTTCCGAAAAGCTCTGCCTCCGATCCAGCAGAGCGCGGGGCCCAGAGAGCATGAGGAGGGCGGGCGCCCGCGGCCCGAGCGCAGGGCCGGGCATCGGCAAGGAAAGCTCCTCAGCTCGGTGCCTCCTGCCAGGACTGTGGACGTGCTGCCCTCCTACGCTGGCGGCCTCCGGCTCTTCCGTGGCTCGGTCCGGACAGCCTCTGCCTCTCCAGCAGCCACTCCCGGAGACCGCGAGGCCACAAGCGGAGCGTGGAGCGCAGTGACGGGGCCGCTGTCAGAGAGCAGGAGGAGGGACAAGCTTGGCCTGTGCGTCCTGGGGGCTGGAGCAGGACAGAGGGACAGGACAGCGGGGACGGCTCACTGGGGCTGGTAACACCGCAGCTCACTTATGGCGCCCTCAGTCTGGTGGTGAGGGGCTGAGAAGCCTGGGAAGAAGGGAACGGGGCACATTCAGGGGGAAAGAACACCCCTTCCCATCACCACGGGCCTCCAGAGAGAGCCCTGGGAAGCATGGAGGACGAGCGGCGCGGGCGGTAAGAACACAAGCGTGTGGTCAGAGTTCGCTTCCGATCCCGCCTTTCCCACGCATGCCCGTGGGGTCTTCTTACCCTCTCTTTGCTGTTTCTTCACCTGTAAAATGGGAATGACAGTCCCAGTTGTGGGAGAAGGTGCAAAGCCCATGACACGGGGCCTGACACACAGAATTTTATGAAATGTTAGCTGAAGAAGCTGTCAGCTCCCGAGGGGATGAGGAGATCAGGCAGCCCAGGGTCACAGTTAGGGGCAGACAGACAGAGCTCTGGGAAGGAGGAGGAGGGCAGGGAGGTGACACAAGGGGCCAGCGCTCAGCCACAGTGTTCCAACAAAAAGAGATAATGCCACCCACCATGGAGCCCAGATGTCCCCCTTCCTGCAAAGTTCGGGTGTGCCCATCGGCAGGCCAGCACCTAATGGGTCAACGTCAGGTGCCAGCTTGCCTGTCTGCCAAGTGCCACATGTTTCAAGTGGAAATAAGGTTCTTTCTGGGTGCCAAATGTTATCACTGTGATCAACCACAGCCCAAAGGACCAGCAGCGAGACTCGAGCCTTTTCATTAGCAATGAGACACCACAACAGGAACAACTTAATACACCTGAAACCCAAGGCAGACACCTGATCCCTGGAGCAGTGCTGGCTCCAGTTACCAAGCCCAAGGCCCAGGAAGGCCCCCCGCCCCTTGCTGGCAGGCAACCAGCATGTGCTGCACATGTGGGGCTCACGTGGGCTGTGGTAGGAGGTCACCTCCAAAGAGGTCACCCTGAGCAACCCCAAAACAAGCTTTGGGGAAAGGCAGACCCTGTGGGGAGGTGCCACCCCAAACAAGGCATCAGAGTGATCCCCATTTCAAAACCCACTTCTCTCGGCAGGAGAGAAAACCCGTAACACCAAGAGACCAATGACACCATCGTCCCCCTAACTGAGGGACAAATGAGGGGAAGAAGGGGGACAAGAACAATACAGAAGGTGAGCTAAGAGACAAATCTCATGAGAAGATTCAAGACAAAGGCTCCCGGCACACCAAAGTCCCTCCTACCACGTAGGTGCGGGGAGAGGGGAGAGCGTCGTTGCCCCAAACCTGCTACTTGCTGTGTTCCTCTTCCTTCTGTCTGGGGACACAGCCTCACTGTCTGCTGGGCTGCATGCTGCCACCTGACCTCCTCCTCTTACCCACTCGCAGACTGACTGTCCCTCACGCTGGCCTCGCTCTGGGGAGAAGAGGCACCAGGTTCTCTCAGCAAATGCGTTAGTCAGCATTCGCACCCGCTCGCTCTGGGAGGGGTGGGAGGCAGAAGTAAAAGAGGCAGCCCTGGTGTTTGGCAGACAGAATCCTGATCCTCGAGCTCCAAGGCCGTGTTTTAACCTCCAGGACCCTGAGTCAGTGGCTCTGATTCGGATGCCACCCACAAGAAAGACTGCAGATTTCAGAATGATATTCTAACCCTCCTTTTTTTTTTAAGATTCAAACAAAAGCATGCACACACACACTCTCTCTCTCTCAATGTGATCAGAGGTGATATGAGGACCAGGACAATTCTAGAGGTTACCACCTGCACATAAAATCTTGAAGGGCCAGTCTTTGGAAACCCAGGGCCCAGAAACCCAGGGGCTATTATCACGGAGAAGGATTTCCCAGTCGAACATGGAGTCCCATGAGGCTGGAAGGAATGCTTGTCCCCACTGCCTGAGCCCTAGGTGCTCTCCACTCCAGATCCCTTGGCAGTGGGGTGGTCCTGGAAGTCACTCCAGCAGCCGGGCTGAGCTGATGGGAATTGCCCCAGTGACTCCAAGCGACAGGCAATACTGACCTTAGTCTAAGCGCCGGCCCCCTCATCTCTGCATTCACCAAAGAGTACCCCGCTCATGCTTTCTGGCTGCCTGCTATGTCTGAGCTTCCCCGTAGGACACATATCTGAGCAGAAGAGCTAGACGCTACTGGAAACTGCTTGCGCCTTGCAGAATTCTCTGCCTCTTCTCAGTCCCAAACACAAGGGTAGCATAGTGAGTTTCTCGTTGTCTCTGAGTCCCAAGACACCAGGACTAGCTGCAGCTGCCCTCGGGAAGAGCAAAAGTCCTCGAGGAAAATGCATGCGTGCATTCATTCATTCATTTATGCATTCATTCAAACACGCTGTTATTGAATGCCTACGAGGTGCCAGGAACTGAGCTAGGTACTAGAAGGCACAGCCGTGAAGAATACAGAAAGATCCTTGTCTTCAGAGAGCTTCCATTCTAGCAGGGAGGACAGATAATAAGCAAATTAATCAATACTTTCAGAGTGATGTTAAGGGGCAAATGCAGAATAATGGAATAAAGAGTGAGGAGAACCATGTGAAAGCTGCTTTAGATTGGCTGGCCAGCGAAGACCTTTTAAAGTAGGTGACATCTGAGCTGAGACCTGAGTGACAAGAAGGTGCCATCACAAAGATCTGAGAGACAAGGGCCCCAGGCAGGAAAAACAGCAAATATCCCTCAGGCAGGAACATACTTCAGTCAAAATTGAAGTTCCTCAGAAGAGAAAAGGAAGAGGGATCCACATTACTCTTTCCTTTGTTATAAAGGCTGGGGCAAGGGGGAGGCGGGGGGTGGGAAGAGAAGCACAGCAAGACCCTTCCCTTCTCTGGGATCTCAGAGGGACCCAGCCTCGTGTGTGTGCACACACATACACACACATACATATATACATACATATACACACATATACACACATACCTCTACACGTACACATACACACATATACACACACACCTGCATATACACACACCTGCATATACACCTACATATACACATACACCTACATATACACATACATATACACATACACTTAAATATATACATATACCTACATATACATATACACCTACACATACACACACATATACACATACACACATACACCTGCATATACACATACACATACATATACACATACACATACACCTACATATACACATACATATACACATACACACACACATATACACACACACCTGCACACACACCTACACCTACACACACACCTGCACATACACACACACCTGCACATACACACACACCTGCATATACACATACACATACACCTACACATACACATATATCTACACATACATATACACACACACCTACATATACACATACACCTACATATACACATATACCTATATATACACATACACCTACATATACACATACACACATATACACATACACACACACCTGCATATACACACACACCTGCATATATACATACATATACACATACATATACACATACACTTACATATACACATACACATACATATACACATACACATACATATACACATACACTTACATATACACACACCTACATATACACACACACCTACATATACACACACACCTACATATACACATATACCTATATATACACATACACCTACATATACACATACACACACATATACACATACACACACACATACACACACACCTGCATATACACACACACCTGCATATATATACATATACACATACACTTACATATACACATACACTTACATATACACATACACATACATATACACATACACTTACATATACATACACTTACATATACACATACACTTACATATACACATACACATACATATACACATATGCATACACATACACTTGTTTGGAGGATCTAACCTGAAGAATGTACCAGAAACTTCTCAAACTTGGGGCCAACTTGGGGACTCCTTGCCCCCCACTTTATGATAGGATCTCTATACTGAATGGCTCATATGTGTAGAGCACAACTGTTCCTGTGCACATAGTAGGTACACTGAGTAGGTACTCAGGGCACGCCAGTTCCCTTCCCCTTCCCCTTCCCACTGCCACGTGCACAAACCTACATAGGGCCTCTGGGATACGTGCCGTGCACTCCAGCTAACCCTGGCCTGCTCCCCTCTGGCAGACCCCTGACCCGGGCCTTGCCTCCCCGAGCCTGCTACTGAGTGGTCAGTGGGCACCACCGAGGCAGCCAAGACCTGCCAAGCTACTGACCACCCACCCCTCTGCCCTCCTCCTGAGCCTCTTCCTAGGCAGGGCCACGTTGACAGGCAGCAGAGGTTCCCAGAGAAAAAGACTGGGGTTGGGAGCCTCAGGAGCAAGCGGCTTGTAGGGGGCAGGGCCTCCAGATGTGTCTGCCTTCACACAGAGCCAAAAAGCTAACTCTTAGCAAGGATCTAGTTGAACAAAAGCTGGTACGACCA